TGGCAGTTGTTTGCATTGGGGGATGGTGGTGATGACATTTGCATGCTGTAGGGGAGGAAGAGAGGCTGATAATAGCTGCTCTGGGAGAAAAAACAAAAGACCAGGAGAAGGGATTGTTTTTTGCCCACTATCTTCTTGGCAAGAAATGGAGAGGGGTCTGAGTTCCTTCCATTTGTCTTTGCACAGCAAGTTTCTGCTGGAGTTGGAAGGTTTTGTTTTTGTTTTTCTGGACCATTATAATTGGACCTGTAATGTTTTAGCTGCTTCTGACTGCTATAGCAAATGACCCAGGGTTGTCCCAAAACAACACCAAGGGTGTAGCTCTAGGAGCCAGACTTCCAACACAGACTCAGAATCAAAGGAAGAACTGTGTCCTGACTGTTCTGGTTCCCAGAGGCAGTGTCCTTTGCTAAGGATTCCCTTCCATTTTCACAGCCAGTGATGTCACCAGGTCCTGTCTCACTTTCTGCCCCATTCTCTGGCTCCCTTTTCACTTTCAGGCATCACTGTAACTGTTTGGATCACATCAAGTTTAGCTGGTGAACCCTTACTTCTCTGTTCTATGCAGTGTAAGGTGGCCACAGTTTCCTAGTGTTCTGATGTGGGCATCTCTGGCGCACTACTATTTAGACTTCCACACATAAGCAATTCATCCATCCCGATCTAGGTTGTACTTCAGTTCCCTTGGTCCTCAAGTGCTTTTGTTCTTCCATCCCATCTCTATTCAAACACTATCCTGCCAAGTGTGGCCAGCTTGGATTAAAGGTCCTACAAAAACAGAGACTGAAGTGAGTGTGTTTATATACTGTTGGCTCCTCAGTTATGTAAATAAGCCTCACTGTCCAGCCACCTTCTGATGTCCCTGTGCTGGGTTCTGTTCATTGCTGGAGGCAATAGTGAACAAGGTGGACACATCCCTGCTCTCTGCTTTGGGAGGAAGTGATGGGCAGAAAGTTAACAAACAAATGAGCACCAGGCAGAGGAGGACAATGAGCCACTGAGTGAGTGTTGGCTGCTGACACTGGGATGAAGAATGCTTTTCTTAGAACTGAATGGCAAAGAGTAGCAATCATGTGAAAATGGCAGAGGGTGTGGGAAGTAAAAAGCTGCATTATAGCCAGTACCCAAAGCCTTTAATCCCAGCACTCAGGAAGCAGAGGTAGGTGGATCTTGTGAGTTTGAGGTCAGCCTGGTCTACAAGAGCTAGTTCCAGGATGGCTAGGACTGTTACACAGAGAAACTCTGTCATGAAAGACCAAAACCAAACCAAAACAACAAAACAAACAAAAAATCTGCATGATTTAAGTTGGGTTTCTGTTAGGAACAGGACGAAGGTCAGTGTACAAGATGTACAAGGATGTACAAGAAGGGGAGAAGTGTGCCGCTCAATCCCAGTTCTTTATGTCACGTGAAAAACTTGTGTTCTAAGGCATGGTGGAAAGATATCAGGGTTTCTAGGCTTTGGGATGAATTAAATAGTGTGTGTGTGTGTGTGTGTGTGTGTGTGTGTGTGTGTGTGTGCATGTGGTGTGTAAAGGCCAGAGACTGACTTCTAGTATCTTCCTCAATCATATTCCATCTTGTCTTTTGAGACAGGCTCTCTCACCGAACCTGGAGCTGGCTCTCTGATTTGACTCACTGGCTGCGCAGTCAGCCCCAGGCATCCTCTTGTATCTGCTACATCTGGCTGTTACCTCCTCCTCCTCTTTTTAACATGGGTGCTGGAGTTTGATTCATATCCTCATGCTTGTGTAAACTGAGCCATGCATTTAGCTCAAATTAAATAATTTTTATATTTATTCTTTTAACCCAAACTTTATTTTGGAAGACATGTAAAAAATGCTGTGAGATTAGCCAAACTGAAAGTCTTACAGATGTCAGTGAATATTTGTGTAGACAGAATAGCCATTCTGAAGCCATGGGGCTTCACTTTGGATCATACTCTTTCACCATCATTTACATTGTTATGTACTTATCAGCCCTCCCCCTACACACAAGAGACAAATACATGGCGGAGTTAAAACTGGAAATCTCCTTTGTATCCCCTTGTATGACCTTTGTCTTTGCCCGCATTCCCTTTCTGTCTTCAAAGCTTGCTTCCCTCCTTTGGAAGCTTGCACGGTGCCTTCTGGTACTATGAACTCTAGTCCTCAGGACTGACCAGGAGCTTCAGAAAGGATTCTCATACCTGGCATTAGGGTTTTTGTTGGGGAAACATGGTCAGCGCAGATAGGAAGGATTAATTAAAACTGTGAGGCGAATAACAGTGTACAGGTGACTCAAAGGGAGAAACAGTGTGAGGGAACTTTAATTTGGAAGAGGTTGGGAGATAAATACAGGAGAAAGGAGCAGGGATTAAACTAGCAGCAAAGATATCTGAAAAATCATAAGGCATTATATCATTGTCTACCTATAATTATGTAGAACATATATAAGTAAATCTATGTAAAAATTACATAGAACATATATAAGTAAAAAAATACATATATGGGTTTACTTTTGAATACCACATGGACTCCTGATCTTGGTGACAGGCATATTTACATTGAAATTCTATTGTAGATAACATTTGTAGGTAATGGCAAGAATTTGATGCTTACATCATACTTGGCACTGTCAGTCCAGCTTGACAAACATTTTCTCAAAACCTGCATGAAGGCAGCCACTGTGGCAGGCATAACACTCACTAACATAAAACTTGTTCAAAGGCAGTCACTGTGGCAGGCATAACACTCACCAACACAAAACCTGTGATCTTCACCCAAAGGACTTGTAGAGCAGCAAGATCAAGACAGAACAAGTAATAGAGATTGATAAGTTAAGCAATGATTCAAGAATCATTGAGATAATGAGTACTGGGGGGAAATGGCAGATTTTGTTGGGACATCTGTCTCTGGGCCATGAGATATTGGAAGGGTGTTTATTTCCTTCATCTTCTAACTTTTCTAAATTGTGAACATGCCATATCAAAATGAGTAACAAGACTACTTTTGAAAGCCATGATTTTCTCTAAGAATGAAGGGCATCACCACCTTTAACCTTAGCATTTATAGTGAGAATGAATTGGTTTCCCAATGGGTTGCTCCATATAGCTCTGGTTTCTGTTGACTGTGATGAACTTTTACCTTTTACTCCAATCCAACCCCCCTTCCCTGAAACTAGAGGGAATAGCTTTCAGCATCTCCCCTCATTGAAGAATGAGCCCCCAGCCCCAGTCCAGGTCAACCCCTCCATGATTGTACGTTCTGTACATATCCCAAGGTGGATCTTGCTGACTTGTCTTTCTGCTGTCTGTTCTTGAGACTGACACTTGCTATCCAAGGACCATTTTAACTTGACATTATTGGTTTCAAGACAGTATCACGTTATGTCCCAGGCTGTCCTAAATTTGTCTGATCTATCTGCCTTTACCTTCTGAGTGCTGGGATTACCGGGGTGCATTACTTAGACAAGTTTATGCTTGTTGGGTTGGAGCCCATGACTTATACACAATAGGCAAACACTCCACTGAGCTACATCCCAGCCTCACTTGTTATTAATGAATGTGCTTTTTCTACCTAGCAGGGCATCTTTTCTAAAATACATCTGTTGACAATTTGTAGCTCTGCTTGACAGAGGTAGACATTGACAGTGACTATGAGTTCTGAAAACACATTCTGTTGTTATAATAAATTATAGAGCATCCCCTGTGTTGTCTCTTTGTAAATAAGCTCAATATTTGGAGTAAGTCATAGCTACAGTCTATGTGTCTGTCATCTAAGAAAGGAATGTGAGTTGTGCCTGAGTTTCCATCCCTCCTCACTTCTCTTCCTTCCCTATGTCTAGGAGACCCCAGGCCTCTGAGCAGCTGGTGGAGGTCAGTTTCTCTCTGCGTTGTTGGGCTGTAAGCAGTCATAGGGAACAGATGACATTTGTGAGTGCTCTACCATTGTCCCGTGTCCCAGCCTGGGTGCTACACCTCATTCATATGGTTGTTCCTCAACAAATGTAAACATATGTTTTGTGTGTAGTGAAGGTTGACCTTGGAACTTCAGCCATGTGTCCTGCTTTGTGGCATATATTAAGTAATTTTTCCAGCAAACATGCCCCTGTTACAGAAATAGAAATGACCTGAAGACCAAAGAGAAGCGGTTTCTACATTGTAGGGGTAATCAAACCTGGGGTAGACTGTCAGCAAAGGAGGTAAAGTTTCCGTGTCTGGAGAGCCTGAAAAATTGAGACAGAGCAGACGTACGTGAGGGTGGCTGCAGCACTAGATCTGTCTGGAAGCAAGTAGACAGACAGAATGATGGAAGGCTCTGGGATTTGATTATTGGCCTGGAGAAGGGAAGGCCGAGGGGAGACATTGAAAGTCCTTCAAATATAGAAAATGGAGACTGCTGCTTTGCGGAAGGAAGCAGGTTGAAGGAGCTTATCCTAAATCCCTAGGGGCATAGGTCTCTTCTGTTGTCAAGGACATAAAGCCATGGGTTGTGAAATTCTTGTAGAAATCTGCAAAACTAAAGCATGTTTATTGTCTGGAGGGAGGCAGGAAGTCTACTGCTATGAGCCTGTTGCAATAAAAATGTGTTTCACTGCTCTGAATAGAGAGAATTGTTTGCCTATATGCTATTGAATGCATAGCATTCTCCAGGGAAATGGAAACTCCTAAGTGTTTTGTAAGGCAGGGGGCATTGTCACTGATTGCTGGCTAGGAGGACTGAAGTCTAGCCAGGAGCCCTTTCTGTCTCAGGACACTGGTGCCGCCCAGTCAGCAATGATAGATGAGCAGGCATTCCGGCAGAGCTCTGCTCGCCCAAGACAGCCTTATTGTGGCCACTGGACCTCTTCTCAGTTAAAACAGAAGACTTGGGGGCCAGCAACTTAAGTACTTGCTGTGAAAGAGGAAATGAATCTATATATTTATTTCCCTTCTGGCATTGCACTGTAATGTCAGCTTTCAGCCACACGATGTCACGATTGGATTTTGATTTTTTTTTCACCTGTGTTTGGCTCCGCAGCTGAAGGCATTTTCAAAGCTGGAACAGAGAGATCTGAAACGAGGGGGGCAGCAGAAGTCCAAGAAGACGAAGACACGCAAGTTGAGGTTCCTGTGGACCAGGTAATCCTCACACCTCTAAGCATTCACGGAAACTAGAACCGTAACTTTGGTTCCCCTCATGTGCTCAGGTGCCAAGGGGTCATATGATCTTTGGAGTGTAACTCGGTACCCCCAGTTCTTCCCAGTACTCCTCCAGAAAATATCCACCTGTCTCTCTTTAATGTGAAAATAGTGTGTTTTTAATAAGCAGGGGAGACAAGAGGGAGCTCCATGTAGGCCACAAGCTCACAGAGAAAGTCTGGTTTAAAATAGGAGCCTTGGCTGGGATTTTTTTTAACTAGGAAAAAAAAAAGAAGTGTTTTTAAAATGCCATGATATTCTCTTCTTCGGGGTCTTTGAAATTTCTGTGGTTAGTTGTTTTTTGTTTGTTTGTTTGTTTTGTGTGCATGTGTTTTTTTTTAAAGGAATTGTCATATAAATACAAATCAAATGTTTTCTCTGTGTGTAGTAATTTCCTTTCCTAGGCCAAGAGAACAATGTACTCATTTGTGTTTCAGGAAGATGTGTTAACAGAAGAAATTAAGCCATGTTAATTCTAGCTAAATGCAAGAAGTAAGCCAGTTACCCATGTATTCCTGTGTGTGTGTGCATGTGAGTGTGTGTAGGTCAGAAGTAGACATCAAGCATCTTCCTCAGTTGTTCTATATCTTATTTCTGAGCTGGGGTTTCTCACTAACCCTGGAGCTCACTGACTTGACTAGACTAGCTGGCTAGCAAGTCCCTGGGACCCATGCCGCTACCTTTTCAATACTGGGCTAAAGATGTGTGCTATGCCCAGCTTTCATGTGGCTTCTGGACATCTGAAATTAGGTCCTCATGCTTGATAGCAGGCTCTTTACCCGCTGAGCCATCTCCCTAGACCCTATCACACTTTGTTTTTAATAAAGTAATTCTTTATTAAATATGAGTAGCATTATAGGAATTATAGGGTATTATTTCTTAACCTTTTTAATTTTTACACTGAAAGATTTTGGAGAGTTCATATTGATGAAACAATGAACTTTTTGAAGGCCCCACTGTGTGTGCCAACATGTTTACACCCAAGAATCCACCTGCATTCTAAAGGAGATTATAATAAAATTGAAGCCTAATTAACCAAACTATTGACCCTGGTACCATCTGGTGTAGAGATTATGTTATTCTAGTACTTTTAAGCTTCACGCCATATTGAAATCGTTTGGAGAACTTTAAAACAAAATACTTGAAAAGATTCTATTACACTTTTTTAATACATTCATGGAAATTCTATCTGGAGGGTTGGGGTTTAGTGCTAGACTCTGGAGGAAGGGAGAGATGACTAGGAATTGCCATGCATTTGTGACCATTACGTATTATTTCCTTTTCTGAAAGCAAATTTTACAATAGGGCAGATCCACACGTTTGTCTTAGCAGCGCAGCTGATGCTTGATTATTCCACCATACTTTCTGCACACACCGTCTTCCTATGAAAATCCCGATGTGCTAAAATTCACAGATTTCAAAAATCCAATTTATTTTCTAAGATTTGCTCTCACTAATAATTTTTCATAAACCCAGTTATAGTTGTTTTTTTTTCCTGGGAGAAAACAGAATTTTAATTTTACCGTGGAACCATAATTAAATATTGTATTTTCAGACAAAGAAGAGTAATCATGTATGTATAAAAGTGATTAGTTGTAGAAGCCAAGACTAATTTATATTCTAAAGTCAAAGAGAACACCATAGCATCACCAGTAAAGGAAATGTCTCTCCACTGATCACTTCTTAAGCAGTGTGTGCAGTTGTGAGAGGCATCTGTTTACTTAGGTGTTTTCTGATTTGGAGGGTGGGGCATGGGAGGGAGAATGGATGTATGATGTCACTAGATCAGCCTTGCATCTGCAGTGCTCGGTTTCTTATGGCCTGTGTGGAGATAACTGGATAAAATGCAGCAGGGCAGGAGTGACAGATGAACCTCAAATGCTGGATGAGAGCGGCACCAACACACAGAACGACTTGGAGGAAAGAAAGCACATGGTAGAGGCTCCTCCTTGCTTCCTTTGCTCCATTCCACACAGTGCTGGGATCCTCAGGCCCATTTACTCCATGCTGGGCACCAGGGGCTGGGGGCTGGTCTCAGAGCCACTTTTGTGTCCTACGTAGCCATGATCTTAGTATTGAAACCAGCAAGGGTATGGAGAGATCCATTAGCTCCATACCAATGAGAACAGCTCTAAAGAAGACAACCCTGCATGTTCTGCATTAAATAGCAGCCGCCTTTCATCAGGTACACGCTGAGGGCCAGGAACCACATGATTCTTAAATAACCCTGGTGACAATCTGACAGGCAGGCCTTCCTTACTATCCTCACATTCTGTGCATACATACACATATGTAAACACACACATACATATATATATATACACACACACACATACACATATGTAAGTGTATGTATGTGTTTGTTCTGTTTTCACCATGTAGACCCCAGGAATTGAGGTCTTCAGGCTTGGCAGCAGTCACCTTTACCCACAGCCTTCTCATTAGACCTGAATTTTTTCTAAAAATGTTTGTATAATGAATGGCTTTGGAGAGCAAAGGTGGTGACTTCCTCAGTGGAAGCAGTTTTGTCTCTAGACGGATATTTGGCTATTTGTGAGGATGCTTTGTTGTCAAAACTTAGTGAGTTTTGTTGGATCTGGTGAGTAATGGCCAACAGTGCCATTAATTACCTGTAATGAACATACAGGTAATTATGTTCATTACATAATTACATAATTACCTCCCCAACAAAAACTATGTGACCCATAAGTGATGAGAGGCCCGGTCTCTTTATTGTCCTCTAATAATAAAGGAAATGGCTCCTGTGGTTCAAAACCAGGACAGTTTACTGCCCATTATAAAGATTTAATGCCATTGAGTCTCATACTTAAGATTGGCTGAGAAGGCAAAATTTTATGATATATGTATATATATATTCATAATAAAAGTAATGAAAAAAGATCTGGGCTCCCCAAGCCTGGAACTCTATTTCTGACAGGCAAACCACAGAGAGGTTATTATGTAGCCCTTTCCCATGGAGTAAACATGGGAAACACTCTGACCATTTTTGACTTTTGCTTCTATGAAGCTCTAGAAGATTAGTGTGTTTGCCATAAAGGAGGCAGACCCTCAGTTCGTCATGCCCTTCTGTCATCTCCAGCATATGTGCTCATGGAGGGCATGTCGTGGGCTCATGTATCTACATTATGGCAAGTTTCAGCCAAGAGTCAGAGTTCTGTCCCTAATCCAGATTCATTTTATTAGTTAGAGACTAGCAATGTTCACGAAGTTCTATTGCTATGACCATAACATCTGCCAGAGATAATTTAGGAGAAGAAAGGTTTATCTTGTATCATGCTTCAAGTCTATCATTGTATGGTATCCAGAACAGAATTCTGGTTGTGTATGATGGACCAGGAATTAGAGAGCAAGGCCAGAACCTGGGCTGACGCTATAGCCTTCCAAAGCTTCCAGCAGCAAGGTTCTACTCCCGAAAGGTTCCATCACCTTTCAGAAGGCGCCACTAGCTGGGGCACAAGCATTCAAAGCATAGTCTTTTGGGGGAAATTTTCAGAGTCTAGCCATTGTAGTGGTGGGCCTAGTACTGCTTTGAAACTCGTGGGGAGATGCTTACGTATCTAGGAAGTCCACACCAAATGGCTTTTGTTAGGGGAGAATTTAGGTCTAATAAGAGTAAGGCAGACTGGGCAGTGGTGGTGCATGCCTTTAATCCTAGTACCCAGGAGGCAGAGTCCAACATATTTCTGAGTTCAAGACCAGCCTAGGCTACACAGAGAAACCCTCTCTTGAAAAAAGAATAATACTGGACTTCTTTTTTGTTTTTGTTTTTCAAGACAGGGCTTGTGTGGATACCTTTAAAGTCTGTCCTGGAATTTGTAGATTAGGCTGACCTCAAACTCGCAGAGATCTGCCTGCCTCTGCCTCCCAAGTGCTGGGATTAAAGCATGCGTCACCAACCTCCAGCCTAAGGCTAGACTTTTTAAAATTTATATTTTTTTGCATGTATATTTCAAATCAACCTAGGGTGGATGGACAAGAACCAGATTACCTGATACCCACCATTGGTGACCTGTGTGCCACTGTGAACCTTCAGAACACAATGTTTTTCCAAAGTCATGAGGCAAGAAATGAGTCTACTTTGTATTTATTGATTAAATTGCCTTTAACCACTAAGGATCAGAAAATAGAGGCTCTCCATCTGAGAGAAACAAGCAAAAAAGTACCTTTAAAAAAATTTTGGTTTTTCAAGACAGGGAAACAAGTACAATTAAAATATAAACAGATTCTCAGAACATGTATGGAGTATTCTGCATGAAAGAGACCTTGGCAGGTGGGTCCAAACCACTCAGGTGAGGGACAGACACACCATGCAGATGGAGCTTATTTGGTAGAATTTATTGAGAGAATGGGAATGAAAAAGGTGGAGAGGAGGGAAAAGATGACCTTTGGGAACAGGAGCTGTGGAAGAGAAGAGAGAGAGAGAGAGAGAGAGAGAGAGAGAGAGAGAGAGAGAGAGAGAGAGATACAGAGAGAGAGAGAGAGAGATACAGAGAGAGAGATACAGAGAGAGAAAGAGGAAGAGGAAGAAGAGAAGTTTCACCTTTTAAAGGGACAAGGTAGTGCCTGCCCTGCACACAGGCCGGAGGCAGGGTTGACACACTCTGTCAGGTCGTCAAAGGGCAGGGCCAGGTGTGCCTAAATGCTAACAGAGTTTACCAAGGGTTTAGGTTGTTTGATAGCTTAGCCCACCAATGCATAACTGACTTTGAGTAGTAAAGAGAATTTCAAAATGGCCTTATGCTGAGATGTTTTGTTAAATAATATAGAAACACCATCCTGAGTGCTGGAGCAGACAAAGTTTTATTTTGTTGTTGTTTTAATTGGATGTATGGCATTTGTTATTTTCTGATGCATATATTTTACCTATATATTTCAGCCGAAGTTATGCGTGTAATGTTTTCAAGGCAACCATTTTGACA